AATTTTTTTTCATGAATTATCTTAATTGGTGATAAAAACAAATACTGTATTTACACAAACATAGGTTATCCAAGTTTATTTATCCATAAAAGACGTCGTAAAAAAGTTACTAGAATCTAAATGAAAACGTGTTTCACATATTATATGTTCAAAAATTATAATTTTATTTATGCTTCATAATACGTTTCATCTCTAATGACCCAGCTTAGCTCGCCCCATTTACATTTCTATAACGCTCGGAACAATGACGTACTCGGGGGGTGGGGGGGGGGGGGGAATATTGGGTTTCAGACCCCCTCCTCATGGATCAGTAAAATCTTAAGTTTTCATGGGATTTTCAGACCCCAACGTGTGCTGAGCCACCTTAAAAATAAAAAAAAATTAAGGGGAGGGAGATCTCAAGAAAATATTTCTATATCTATAAATATAAAGTTGAAATCTTTTTTTTAATGTTTGGCAGGAAGTCTGATCATAACCCCTTGACCAATTTGCCTCAAATTTTATTTTATGAACTCGGGAAACCAACGGGAATGTTCTTAGTTTGGTTGAGATCTAAGTTGAGTGGATCATCTAGAATAGGGATGAATAGCTAAACTCGTAATTTACGACCAAGCGCAGGTAAATGGCGGGAGCAACTATGAGAACCCTGGGCAACGCTGGGTTCTCAATAAGTATACATATATATTTTTAGTTAATGGATAAAATTAACCTCTTGGAAGAATTCGTCGAGTTTGCTTCCTTCGACGTTGACAGAAACATCGTCGCCGGCCAAATCATCTTCATCGCTCTGCGCCTAAACAAAACAAAATGTTTAAGGGACCCAAGAGCTTATTTTGCTCAAGATGAAAAAGATTAATTATTCTACATTGTACATTAATAGAAACAATGGAGGAAATAATTAAAATATCAGAATTCAACACATTCAACACATAGGTCTCTTGAATTTATGACAGTCCAATTTTTGGAAGATTTCGCTTATTTTGGTTCATTCGTAATTCTTCAATCACGTATTAAGTTTGTTTACAATCCTACCGGAATCTTCAGTACACTTTGTTTGTAAACAAAATTACGGGGGTATTTCTTCCATAATTCCAGTAGACTCTTCTATTTTCAACTTATTTTGAAATTTGAATTTGTTCCGTACTTTTTTGATTAATTTGACAAGAAACAAAGACTACTCTAGCGGTTGACAGGCATCTTCTTTTCTTTGTATCTCCTTTTATTTCGAATATAATACAGATATTTAAAAAAGGTTTTAACGTGAAATTTTTAATTCCAACCCCCCCCCCCTTCCCATAAAAAAGTCAAGAATAAAAAAAATAGGAAAGGGGGGGGGGGAATATTTTTGGTAATTTCCTAGTATACGATTTTTGGACCCCCCCCCAGGCCCCCCCCTCCTATCAATTTTGTACATGGGTGTGACAGGAAGTTTCTTAACTTAACCTAACCCGTGGCCGCAGCGCTCGGCCCCCTAGCCCATCCTAGCCGCAGCGCTCGGCCCAGAAAGTATCTTCACCTAACCTAACCCTAAATAACAAAAAAATAATAATAAATTTGCTGAAAAATAAATGGTCATGTACAAAATTGATAGGAGGGGGGGGGGGGGTCCAAAAATCGTATACTAGGACAGACCCATATTTTTGTCCAAATTGTACTGAAAATATTAGATTTTAAATAGCTAAAGATTTTAAACACCCATTCCCCTCCCCCCACAATTATTTCAAATTTTAGCAGAGTACATCTTGGATATCTTTAATATCCTTAAAACTAACTCATTCAAAAACTTGAGGTAACATAACACATTTTGGATTTTCTTAAATACTGAATTATCTATATTTTTTAATTTTACACTTTATTATAAAATAATTATTCCAAACTTTCTATTTAGGGATATTCTCCATTTTATCCTAACAAAATTTCGAAGAATTTCATTTGAAAATTTTTAAACAAAGCCCCCCCTCCCTTGTTTCTTACTTCACCAAAGTACATCTAGGATATCTTTAATATGATTCTTAAATGAATTCTATCAAAAAACTTACTTCCACCAAAATTTAAGGTAGAATAACACAATTTTTTTAAAAATTTTTTTTCATGAATTATCTTAATTGGTATTGTTAACATTTTTCTTGTAAAACATTAATATTTAATTAACTACCTTTTTGTTCGTAATAATTTCCAATTTTAAAGAAACAAAAATTTTGAAAATCAATTTTTATAAAAATATTAATTAGTCATTAACTAACGGTAACTTTAAACAAACCCCTCATTACGCAACAGTAATGCGACCTTGAATATTTAACTGTTAAAGAAATTATTTTAATTTAATTTAAATTGTTTAACTTACTGCGCGCAGCGCGGCCAACATGTCTTTCGCCATTTTGTCCGTTTATCTTCTCCCTGTGTTTTATCTTCCCTTTTTCACTCTTCTTTATGTTTGACTGCCTTGTGATCAACACGGTAAAATAATCGATATCACGGCTCCTCTATAATCCTCGAAATTCATACAGGTTGCACTGTACACACACACCACCACACCACCACAACCTGTAGCACTACTCAACAATATTGGCGGGATTTAACAGTTTCGCGCATTATTTAATTTACGATTAAATCCATCTGATCAAGTATTATTGCTGCATTTAACTATTTGACGTATATTTTCAGCCTCTTTACTTGAAACTTGACAGTAGAGTGAGTAGTGACGTCAGAGCGAAATATGAATAGTTTCTCCAATCAGAGACAGATTTATTCCGCGAAGTTAAAGAGTAAACGCCCCAATTTGTTTTGGCCCCCCCTGCCTCTCTACTATCTTTTCACGCAATTTTTGGAGATAGAATACAAATCATTTAACTTTTTAATGTTTCTTACTCTTCTATTCTACTAAAGATGTCAAATTTTAACCAAAAAGTTGATATTTCACCAATATAGACAACGACATTCAAACAAATATTTTCTTAAAACAGCTGATCAATGTTTCTCAATAGAAGACGAACTCGGCGGACTGATGTGTTACAAAACAAAACCTTACGAAAGGCAAAACTTTCACACAAATCAAGTCAATGTAAAATTTTATCTACTTATTTTACAGAAAAATGTCAGCATCGTTAAAGACTGCTGTCTACCTATTTCGTAATGATCTCCGACTTCACGACAACGAGTGCTGGGTGCTCGCAAATAAAACTGCCGATTATGTAATCCCCCTGTATTGTTTTGACCCCGCACATTTCAAGAAAACATGGCATTTTGGACTTCCCAAAACTGGGGCCATCAGGGCCAAATTCCTTATTGAAACTGTGAATGACTTAAAAACAAATCTGAAAACCAAAAATACAGATTTAGTTGTAAAGAATGAAAATCCAGTCTCTGCTCTCAAAAGTTTAGGTAAGTCCTCAATGTAGCGTACACAGAGGGTCATGCTCTACCCTAGGCCCAGAAAATGTTTTAAACTAACCCAACCCTTTAAAATAATAAATAAATAGAAATGATAATTTTTCTGAATAATAAGTGGTCATGCACAAAATTTTTAGTAGGGGGGGGGTCCAAAAAATCTTTTTCTAGCGACAGACCCCACCTTTGTTCCCTCCTTTTTTAAGGGGGGGGGGGGCAAGTATTCCCAATTAAGTGTTTGAAAATATACTTTTTTCTTGTTACATAGCAACCTTATATTTTGTGCTTGTGAAATACGGTTTATATCAGGGTAAAGTTTTTTTTTCGCTATAATTCGAATTTAAATAGTTTATAAATTTATATATTTTTATTTTTATGATTCAAGTGGAAGCATGTCGTTTGTCGGCCCCCGTGACCTCTCTTATTTACCAGAAGGAGGTCACTTTCGAGGAGGTCAATTTGGAGAACGATCTGAAGAAGTTCTGTGGCAATCTCGATATAAAGGTTTAAAAAATACGCAATTTTAGAATGTTTTTTTTTCTGGTCAAATTCCCCTCTACTCTTATCCATATAGATTCTAGTACAATAGATGGCAACGTAGAATTTGTACATTCTGTACAAATTCTGTATTCTGGCGTCTGACGTCACAAGTGTCCGACAAAATAAATAATTATAGTAATAATTTTAGAATAAGGTGTTCATTTTACAGTAAAACAGGTGCAATTTTATGTGTTCTTTATTTTCTGTTTTACACTTTTTTTAAACATGTCTTCTTATGTGAGAAAATTTCGTTTTCCTTATTTAACACTTTTAACGTCGTGTATAATTGTCGATTTCTCTGTTGCCACCGATTGTACTTGATAATCTATTTGCTCTCATCAAGTAAATTGTCAGCAAATTTCTTATCATTTGATTTTTGATTGATTGTCTAACCTTTAAACTGTTTTTTTTTCAAAGCAAACAAATCTTTTACTTTTAACATTTTATTTCTTGCTTTAGGTTCATGAAGTTTGGGGTTCAACACTGTTCCATCTTGAGGTATGAAAACTTGTATTTTAAAGAGTATTTATTTATCACAAAATTCAATTTATATGATTATTTAAATGAATCTTCCAATTTAACTAAAATTAATGTTTTGCCGCCTTCTGTCGACCCTCAGTGACTTTTCATTTTCTTCTTCAGCGAAATTTAAAGATTCTTTACTGTTCTTAGGAATTATTAAGCTAAAAATAACATCCAACATTGCAAAGTTTTTTTTTCAAGAAATTCGATTAATTATTTGGAGTATGCAAACGACATTATCTGGAAATTAAAATTGTTACTTTTGCTTTTAATTTTTACTCCTTTTGGTCTGCAAAATATGCCTCCCTTTGTCATTGGAAAATTGTAAAAAGTATAATAAAAGTCCCAGTTTTATTTTTTTTTCCTTATAAGCTTTTAAGAACTTCTTGCTTGATTTAATGTTTTTTTGTAAAAAGATGATAAAAGTCCTATTTTTTTTACAAACTTTTAAAAATTAGTTCCCTTCCTGAAACCTTATTGTAAAACATGATTTGTAGGATCTTCCGTTCAAGATTAACAGGGTTCCAGACACTTACACCAACTTCAGGTAAATTTTTCAGCAAAGTACAGTCGTCGTCGTAAATATCAATACAATGAAGACGACTTGTGATTTCCATTTTAACTCCAACCAAGCTTTTAAACAGCATAGAAACACATAAACATGGATAAGCTGTCAATTTATATTTTTCATTTGAAAAAAGAACATGTTAGAAATCAAAACATAAAGAGAAAAGTCGTCTTCATTGTATTGCTATAAACGCCGACCTCTGTATTTCCCGAATCATTGTATCTTTTTATAATTGTGGAAAACTCTGAAGTGCACTTTTTATAATTTAGTTTAAAGCTAATTTTTCTTAATCAGAGTACGCGTTTTCTACAATATACAATGGTCGACCAAATGACGTCAGAGTACGTGTTTTCTACAATATACAATGGTCGACCAAATGACGTCTCCGAATGTGTGCGTCCTAATTATTTATCTTGTCAGATAAGAATCTTACTTGAGACATCCAGCGGCCAAACTATCGTCCCAAAAAGGATGTCATGAGAACTCGGAGAACAGTCCTTGATTAAATTAGGAACCGGAGGCGTAAACAGGGGGCGGGTGCCATCCGGGTTCAGTTAAATCCATCGTTTTCAGGGGTGTATATTTTTTCAGAAATTTATACCCTTCCCCGGGGGGGGATGATTCTTTATGATTATGGGGGAATTTGAAAAGTTCGGCATTAAATGGCAAGTTTTTTCATTCTTTTTGATACATTTTACCTAAAAATATCCATTCAATTTCCCCTAAAATTCATATTTTTCCTAATTCAGCTTCGCGCAAACTTGGGAAAAATTATTTTCAAAAGTTGGTAGTTTTATGTTAATATGTTGGGAAAGTGTACACCCCAGGTTTTCAGGCCCTGGAAAGGGTGCTGAGCCCCCTCACCCCCTCCCAACCATTGGAATAATTCTTAAGAACGTATTCTAAGAATCGCAGATAATGTAAAAGTTTTGTTGAAAGACACCATTTAACACAAAATATTTGTTTAGGAAAGAAGTGGAGGGACGAAGTAAAGTTAGAAGAATTGTTTCTGATCCTCAAGTTATCAAACCCTGGCCCGGTAAGTGGAAATCAGAGTTTTAAGTGCGCTTCGCGCCACTCTATATTCTGGTTTTATTGTGTTATATGCAAGTACTTTTTTTTATTCATGCAAACAATAAAAAAACCTGTTTTTACGAGAAAAAAAAATTTTAAAAATTTCTTTAATCATAAAAACAAACAAAAAACCTTTTCCAGAAATATTATTTCGATTAAGTTTTTTGAATTATTTTTAAAAATCATTAAAATTTGTTTTTACGGTTAAACTACTGTGATGCATGACTTGACAATAACATTTTTAGATTCTAAAATTGATGGTGGCTCAGTGCCCACTCTTCAGGTTCTTGGGTTAGAGGCAAGTAAATATATATTATACCCAATAAATAATAAAATCAAGAACGACCTTAATTATTTTTTTATATTGTGGTTTCAGAACAGTGATAACAAGAGAACAATGAAAGAGGAAGACGACATTATAGCAATACTTAAGTAACATAAGTAGCATTCATGTTTAACAAAGCAAAATGGGTCTCATTAAACTCCACAATTTCTGTGCTTCATGCTCAATGAACTTTTAAAAGGTTATTCTTAAAGTCGTCTTCCTATTTCAGAGTTTTCTAGTTATCACTGTATATTTGTTCAGAAATCAAGGCGAAGCTGGGTTCCCAAGAAATGTTGAAAATCGTTTTGGTTTGCTTTTAAAAAAAAGATATTAATAAAAGTTTACAAGATTTCAAAACTGTATTCTGTTAAAGTTTGCTTTTATTTCCAAAAATGGCAATTGCCCCAAAATACGTTTGTTTTTTCATTGTTTTTGTACTGCCAGGGGAGGGAGGGAATGCATCCTCCCCCGCACAGCTTCCGAACCTCATTTTTCCTAATTGCGGTAGTGCGCGTCCCCATAGTGCTTGCTTCCCGTTTTAAGTAGAAATTGTCGATTATAAATGGAAAATCATTCCGGAAGACTGTTTGGGGGGAGGTTCGGAAGCCCTCTGGGGACGTGCACTGCCGCAAATAGGTAAAATGAGGTTCAGAAGCTGTGTGGGGGGAGATTGCCTTCCCTCCCAAACCAACTTAATGTACATCACTATTCCCACGCTAGTCTATGAAAAAGTACAAAGAAAAAAGTCTTCATTATGGCTTTCTTGCATCTTATTTCTCTACAACTAAACTTTAATTTTTTGTAACAACATAATTCAAAATGTGCAGTATGTTTAAAAGAATTTAATTTTAGTACTATATAGTATTTTTTTTGAAACGTAGCCCCCACTTAAATAAACATTTAAATTAAATTTTGTATCTAAATATAAATTATCAGGAACCTGGACTAGAAAATAGAACTGCCTTCCCCTTCTCAGGCGGAGAAACATCCGCCCTGGGTAAAACTTAAAATATTATTTTACTAACTTTTAAAAGAAAAAAATACAAACTTTATTTTTTCCAGACAAACTTCACTGGTTAAATTTTTTATTATCATTGTCTTATGAAAATCTATTATATATATGATATATACTATCCCTGTCTGTTTGTATCCAATGAACGTAAAATCGGCTGATCCGATCGGTTCCAATTTTTTGTGCGACCTCACATGACCCCAGGGAAGGTTTATTGATGCTCAAAAAATTTTATTTTTGTAGAATTTATAATATCCATTAAACCCGTCCCAGCTGTTCAAAAAAATAGTTTTTTCTTAATGTGTATGAAATTTAATCGCTGAATTTGGAAAATAAATAGAATTCACGGTTATAATTTTTCTCCAAATATTTACCCTTCAAAATGATTGTGTGGAGCGGTTATCAAAATGTTATTCCTATTATTCGCTGCTTTGAGGAAAGCAGAACGTGCTGGGTAAAAAGCAGTGCTTAGGTTGGTTCCGGAAGGTTTTGGCGTCCCGGATCCGAGGGGTAAAATATCAACCATAAACTGCAAAAAAAAAACTTTTTTACTCCTGAAACCCAAATCTGAACTTTGAAAAAAGAGAGATTTTAAGAATTTCCTCATTTCTGAATGGTTCATCAAAAATAAGCGAAAAAAATAAAACAAAAATTTGAAAATTATATTTTGTTTAAAAAATTTATCTCTAGACCAAGGAATATAATTTCTTGTACGTATTGACCCCTGATAATTAGTTTCTGTAAAAAGTATCACATAGAAGAAAAAAACTTTTCTAATTGAGTCAGTTTTTTATATTTTATCCAAAAGCTTTGTAGTAAAAAAAAAACTCTTTACTCTAGCTTGGAGAAGAGCATTATCTAAAAATATCCCACCGCTTCTTCACCTTTCCCATTTTTTTTGTTTGTTTTACACAAAGGATGAGACTTTAGAGACTACTGTAGGGAATTTATACTATCTGTTTCCTTTTATTCATGGTCCCCTGCAACTTTAACTTATTAACTTGAAACTTGTAAATTTATTTGCAGAGTGATCATATAAGCGTTAAAAGATTATATTCAAAACAAAAGTCTTAATTTAACCTTGGGGTCTTCATACTTAAAGATTTTCAGGTCGTCTTTACAGTCTCATCCTTTGTGGGTAACCCTGTATTTTACAATGTTTTCCTTGCACAAAAGGTTGCAAAAACTTTATTTTCTGACAAAATATTTGCAAAATATTTGCACAGTTATTTAAACTTTGCAGAAACTGTACTCTTAACAAGGTTCAAAACAAAATGTAACTTTCTTTAGATAATGATTTACATTCAGTGAGACAATAAAAAAGACTGTGGACTAGGAAAACGACATTTAAGAAATTTTAAGTATTTTGATGGTATTAAAAGCAGAAAGTTTTACCAAAATTATGAAAATTAACTTATTATTTTAAATGTTTCTGTGTACACTGCATAATTTCTGTGTTTAATGTTCAATGGAGTATTTAAAATAATAAGAATCGTCTTCCTATTCCACAGTTGTATGGGTCCCACTGTACTGTTGTATTGCAGTGCTTAGGATCCATTTAATTTTGATGCGGATCCTGGATCCGCACTGGGAAAAAATGGATCCGGATCCAAATACGGATCCAGGTCATTTCTTTAAGATTTACTGAATTTTTTTTTAACAAAAAATAATTTTGAAATTTTTTGTTTAAATTTTTTCGCTTATTTTTATCCTAAAACTTGATGAACCATTCAGAAATGAGGAAATTTTTATTATCAGAAATTTAGGAGTAAAAAAGTTTTTTTGCAGTTTTTGTTTGATATTTTTCCCCTTGGATCCGGATCCCTGGATCCGCATATTTTGGCGGATCCGGATCCAGGAAGCCAAAATCTTGCTGATCCAAAGGATCCGGATCCTAAGCACTTTTGTATTGTATAAATTATAAAGGTGCACTGCATAACGGAGGAATTTTTCTGTTGGTGATAATGATGACAATAATGATGACAATTGAAATGTAATTTCAATATAAATTGAATGCAATGCCCAATTTTCAACGGTACCCTTGAAAGTTTTATGCTTTATTAAACTGTTTATTTTCATTTTCAATTTTTGTGTGAAAGTGACTTGTGAATTTCGTTCTAAAAGACGTAATGGAGAAAATCACAGAAATAAAAAACTTTCCAAGTAAGAAAAATTACAGCATCTTCTTTATTTTTTATTAGAGCCCGGGATTTAAAAACTTCGGCTCAAGCCGTAATTTCTTAAACCCGACTTTATGACCCAATCTTCGACCCAACTCTGACGACAGCTTGTGTTACGTGATTGACAGCTGCAAGATCTTCTGCTCGACTGAAGGAGTTAGGCCCAATGAAAATAAAACCGACCTTGGTTGGTTTTAGTGGAGAATATAGCTCAATGGTGAGTCTTGTCCTCATTAAAACCCAGAATGCGCCAATTCCAACCATGAAAATCCACCAAATAGAGTATTAAACCAGTTTTTTAAACTCAACTCTGTGGAAAATAAGATGCAGCTTGAATCTGAAAGCTCAAGCCATAAATAAGGCCCAACAACAGCTTAGACCCGAGCCGTATTTTCCCGAATTTTTTAAATCGCGGGCTCTGATTAAGGTTTCAATGTCACCGTTGTAAATCAGGAATTGCCATCAGTGCATGGAGGGTCGCTTGAAATCATAAACAGATTCCATTTCTTACTTACTTGATACTTGTGATTGGATTCCAAGGACTCCAGAGCCCGCGATTTAATAAATTTGGCAAAATACGGCTCAGGTCTAAGCTGTCGTTGGGCCTTATTTACGGCTTGAGCTTTAGGATTCAAGCTGCCTTATTTTCCAAAGAGTTGAGTTTAAAAAACCGGTTTAATATTCTATTTGGCGGATTTTTATGGTAGGAATTGGTACATTCCGGGTTTTTATGAGAACAAGAACTCAACATTAAGACTTATTCTCCACTAAAACCAACCAAGGTCGGTTTTATTTTCATTGGGCTTAACTCCTTAAGTTGAGCCGAAGATCTTGCAGCTGTCAATCACGTGACACAAGCTGTCGTCAGAGTTGGGTCTTAAAGTCGGGTTTAAGTAATTACAACTCGAGCCGAAGTTTTTAAATCGCGGGCTCAGGTAGGAGTATGGTGGGAATATCAGTCCATGTCCTCCAGAGTAGTGTTCTGGTCTGCCTGGTTCTCATGTTGCATCTAGTTAACTCGGCACACTACTCAAATACACAAGTATAGAGGTTAAAAAACCGTTTGTCAAGTTTGGATTTGAACATGTTTAAAGTTTTGGAGTCCTTGACGTCTGTTGGGAGTCCATTTCATCTGGAGATAACTCTGTTTGTGAAAAAGTTAACACTAATGGCAGATCTAGTTGCTTTGAGGTTTCCGTGGTAGCTGGTGTTCCTGGTTAATCTCTATAGAACTGGCAACGTCGTCGATATCTCTGAAGATTCTTAGCTTTGAATTGAATAAGTAATTAAAAAATATTTATTCTAGGGGAAAACTACTCTACAAAGTTCAGTCCCTGGTTAGCTTTTGGTTCTCTATCACCCCGGCGGATATACAGGTTGGTTGGTCGGTTGGTAGGTTGTTTGGTTGGCTGGTTGGTTAGTTGATTGAATAGTTGGTTTGTTGATTGTTTGGTTGGTTATATGGTATATATTTATCAATTTTTTTTTTTGATATTTTGATTAGTTCGTTGATTGATTGATTGATTGATTGATTGATTGATTGATTGATTTATTGATTAGTGAAATCAAGCGGTATGAAGATGAGAGAGTGAGTAATAAATCAACTTACTGGGTTATTTTCGAACTTCTTTGGAGAGATTATTTCAGGTAAACGTATCCAATTTTTTCTTACAATCAAGGTTCACTGCAGCTAGGGGTGGATCGGTCAAACTTTTTTTAAAAGCAATCGTTTCGTTTTAAAAACGACGAAGAAAAAAATTAAAACGAAACGGTCGTTTTAAAAAGGTCGTTTTAAAAAAGTTCGTCGCAAGTTCTGAACGAGTGGTTTGTTTTTCTTAAAACGAAACGATCTTTTAGAAAAACTATCGATTTTTCGATCGTTTTTAAAAACGATTAACAACCCTAACTGCAGCTGCAAAATTGTTTCTTTATTTAAAATAACATGGTCAACTCTTGTGAGACCAAGAAAGAGGATCTATATGGCTTGAGCGTACTCTCGTACTATTACAGGCTGCAATAGGGTAATCTCAGATTATGTAGTGCACACAGTTTAGGCTGTGGTAAGATACACTTCTGGACTTTAGTCCTGCCACGCCTTCTTTCAGTATTTGTTCATTATTTGTTTTAGAGGCCCNGCTTCCAGATTTAACCTCTTTATTCTTAATTCTAAACCTCAATATAATTCTGTATGGCGTAATATTTCAAGATTTCAGATCGTTTTTAAGTTTTTAACGTCTCATCATTTGATTTTGGTTTATTTAGATTTGTCTGCCTCAAGTTTGGAGATAAGGTGTTCTACAGGTTAATATTTTAATAGTTGAATATTTTAATAGTCAAATATTTTGATAGTAAAATATTTTGATAGTAAAATATTTTGAAATTTAAATATTTTTATAGTAAAATATTTTGATAGTTCAATATTTTGATAGTTGAATATTTTGATAGTTAAATATTTTGTAGTTGAATATTTTAATAGTTGAATATTTTAATAGCTAAATATTTTAATAGCTAAATATTTTAATAGTTAAATATTTTGATAGTTGAATATTTTAATAGTTGAATATTTTGATAGTTCAATATTTTGATAGTTCAATATTTTGATAGTTGAATATTTTGATACAGTCCTCGTATATATCATTACAATGAAGACGAATATATATTTCAATTTTGATTTATACCAATGAAAGCAACATGTTCACTTGTAAACTTGGAAGGCCTGGATACAGGATACAGGATACAAACAAGTTTAAATGCCTAGGTCTGGTATACTGGGTAGGGACCAGGTCTGGATACAGGATACAAGCAAGTTTGAATGCCTAGGTCTGGTATACTGGGTAGAGATCAGTCCTGGATCCAGGATACAGGATACAAGAAAGTTTAAATGCCTAGGTCTGGTATACTGGGTAGAGATCAGGCCTGGATCCAAGATACAAACAAGTTTAAAGCCTGGGTTGAAGGCAGGACTGGAGTTCCTTTCGTTGATGCCAACATGAGGGAACTCAAGGTAATTTAGACAGGGGTATTATTATTATTATTTGCAGACAACCTATCATTCAATGAAATAGGGGACGACGTTTATGATCATGGACAATACGGTAAGGAGACTTACCAAGGCGTCAATTGTATGTATATTGTATAAACTGAACAGAAATCTCCAATTTTAATTATCATTTTGTCCAGCAATTAATAAATATTAAATATTGATGCAAGGAAGTGAGGCTGAAAGTTTTTTTTAATGTGAAATTGTAAAATAGATGAATTTTCTGGGTTAAGAAACTATTTTCAATTTACCTGTAAAATTAAGAGTGGCATTTCCGATTAACAACGGTACCCTTAATTTCTTTATCTAATCAATAATGCGGAAGAGAGAAACCAGAATTGAAAGTTATCAGTTTTATAAACGAAAACATGGATATCTTATTCATAATTGATTTGACAAAGTTTTAAGGGTTCTGTTATGAATCATTAATTGAGGTTCACCTAGAATTAAGTTTACTGTCCCTTTATTTATATGTTTACCCAGGAGACAGGTTGGATGTCGAGTTTACTGTCCCTTTAATAATATGTTTACCCAGGAGACAGGTTGGAGGTCGTGTTTACTGTCCCTTTAATAATATGTTTACCCAGGAGACAGGTTGG